TGCTCGGGACAGAAGTGGGCGGCCGTTGGAATGCAGGCGCCCTGGGTCTGGTGCGAAACCTTCTGCGCGCTCGTGCGTACCGAGCCCCGCCGGCTGTACGGCGAGGGCCATGTCTGGGTGGGCGCGCCGGTGGTGGAGCATCCTGTCCGTAGCCGTGCAGTAGGCAGTGGCCGGCACAGCGCTCGGCTGTGCGTGGCCAGCGGCTTTGCCCACCTGCGCAGCCGACGCCCCGCCATTGGAGCGAGTACTTGACTGCCCAAGCGCCGTTGCTGGGAGACCAATCCTTGATCGTATCGATGCTTGTAAGTGATCCTGAACTGGCATGTAGTCGGATGTTCGAAGGGGCTCACGTGATACCCTTCATCAGCACGAAAGATCAGTTTGGTTGCTGCAAAAAAACCCCGAGGGAGATGTGCAGGCCACACAGGGCACAACTGGCCCCACCATAGAGTCCATCATGGAATTACTAAGGTTACTACCTCGAGTGACTCCAGTAGGAGTGTGCGGATGTGGCAAGCACTTCAAGCACATCGATCAGTCCGCCTACATCCCGCATGGAACACCACTCATCAAGTGGAGTGATGCCTTGCCGGTAAGGCAAGTATGCCTCAAGCCAGCCCAGTAATAGTTTATGAGGTTTATTTCTCTTTCCTGGAGGGACGAGAGATATGCCTAGTGATTAATAGGGTGCGTTCTGCGAGCGTGGGGAGTGCTGCAGTGTGAACGTGAACCTGCATACGCACCTCGCATCCATTTTAGGTTTCACAGAGTAGGTTGCCCCTAACTCTAGGTGTAGGGCGTCTTTCCAACCCTACAGCACTGAGGATAGGATTGCACAGGTCCAATTAGTGTACAGTTTTGGAAAAAATTACATTACCCTATCCGTGCTTCATGCTCTTCTCCTTATCTTTCGGTTCTCATAGTTTGCATCATTTCCCAGCATCAGGTTTCATGATGCTTTATCGTTTTTGCAATTTTCATTGTTTTTTCCAGCAGCTTCAACATTTTCAGCATGTTTTATATTTTTTTGCCAATTTTTCATCACTTTGCCTCGTGCTCATTATGTTTTGTCATGATGTTTCCTCATTTTCCCGGCTTTTTCAACATTTCTCATGATGTTTCATCATTTGTCATCATTGCTTATCATTTTTCATCATTTTCATCATTTCTCATCATGTTGTTGATGTCAATTTTTCATCATTTTCATCATCTGTCATTGTTGTCCATATTTCTAAATCAATTTCTTTCATTTTCATCATGTTCATATAATTTTGCTATAATTTTCATTGTTTTCTCAACTTTTCATCATGTTGCTATGAATTTCTTAATGTTTCATGATTTTTCATCATTTTCAGTATGTTCTATTGATTTCTAGCTTTTTCATTATGGTTATATAACGTTTGTATTGTCTTCATGTTTTCTCAATTTTCCATCATTTGCCATTCATTTTCCTAATGTTTCATCATGTTTCATCATGACCATTATGTTTTATGATTTTTCTATCATTTTCATCATGATTATAACCTTTTCCTATCATTTTCAAGATAGTTTCAATGTGAGGCGTCCTTCGATTCCAGGCCCCCAGCCACCAAAAATAAAAACGTACAAACAACAAGTACAAGAACAAATCTTCTCCCAAAATGGGCTTACGTCATTTTCCAACCGCTTCCGTAAACAATCCACCCCCCGAACAAAAAAAACCTTAAAGATGGTCCGCAAAGATTGCACGAACATTGGCCTGGAACTTGAGCGGCCTTCGACACACATCAGACACACACTAAAGAGGATCTCCAAGGCGTACTGAGTGCACTGTGACAGACAGCTGGGAAACACTTTGGGACTGGAACCGGCATAGAGAATGCCGTTGTTATCAGTGAGCACCCGCATCATGCAGGAGCAGCTGTAGAAGCCGCATGCAGTTTGAATGGAACCTAGATTCATGCCGTGGTGGCTCTTCATCCGGGAAAACACGAGCAAGGGACCAAAGGGCAGGGCTACGCGGCGACGATGAGTTGTCTGCATATGCTTCACCAAGGCCATGAAAACATGACAGTGCAATGCAGCCGCAGCCTTCTTCCGGCCCAATGTTTGGGATCGTATTTGGCAAGTTGTTGTCAATGCGGTAGCATCTCCACCATCAACATGTACTTGGCCTTCTTTCGTGCCTCGGCTGTCAGTCTTGGTGTTGATGTGCGGCGAAGTTGTGATTGCACTGCTTCGCTACCACTTGAGGACCTCAAGCTCTTTATTGCCAAGAGCATGGGGAGGCAGATGCAAGTTTCTCGCCATGAGTTCTCTTCGTTGACAAATCGACCACACATGGGTGGCGTCTTCGTGAAGCTCGTTTTATGCATGCCGACGTGAATGTCTTGGTTCGCGTATTTCTGAGGGCTGGAATGCCTGTGCCATTCCAGCGGGCACCGACAACAGTGCCGAAATATTCCGGAAACGCAAGCAAACAGTCCAACGCTAGCAGCGGGTTATCAGGACGGGTAAGTCAAAACCCTGCTGGGATTAGACATGATTAGACCCTTTTTTTGCAGCCTTGTGCGCGAAATCAGCGTTTACGTCCGCCGACACAATGATCAAAGTAGGTCATCGCCTCTTTGGCCCTTGCGTTTGTGATAATGCCCCACGAGCCCAACAGATACAGAAAGATGGAAGGGCGTGATGCAACATGAGTGTGTTGTGCCCATTAAAGAAGTGACCGGGCATTGACGAAGCATAAGCTACACACGGCATGCCGTGGAGGCCAGAATCACGCGACAGAATGCAATCAGGTACATGTTGAGTTGGGGCAACCGCCTTGGAGGGTAATGCTCTTCTAGTACCAGGCAAAGAGGCGTGGATGTGTGGTAAATTAGTGGACGTGTGGTAAATTAGCATTGGCTCAGTTTCAAAAACTTATTGCCCAGCCAGTTCAAGTGTTCGGCACGATCTGCAGCTGTGCTTTCAGCGAGTGTGTTGCGAATTTGTGGGCCCACAGGCAACCAGCAGCAGAAGCAGAAGTCGTCAGATTGCATCAGCGACTTAGTTTGATTCAAGAGCGCTGGTCGCAGAAGGCAAGACTTGCTGCATCCTGCTGCCAAGGTAGGCCTTGCCGTTCTACTTGGCGAGAAGCTGTGGGGGAAGTGCATGCTGCAGCTTGTATGCATAAACAGGAAACGTTCATACAAATCTTACGGCCGGGCAACACCACCCTGAGGCCATCTGGCATGATGGTGCGCTCGCAGCCGGGCATTCTTGCAGGTACTTCTAACCTGTTGGACTTGTTCGGACACATACGCCTGTCCCGACGCGCAGATCGTATGCTGTGCTGCAGGAGCAAGATATCACAGAGCCCAGCGCGCGCACCGTGCCTGGACCGGCCGGGGCTATGGCATAGAGCAGTGCCATGTGCAGTTGATGACAATCAGCACAGGCCCCAAGCAGCGAGGACCAAGGGTTGGCAACTTAGCACTCATATGCGTTTTGGCTCGTCAGCTTGGTGCAAATCCTAATTTGCAAGATCTGCCAGGTGCTACAACGTGGTGTGCCCGAAATTGTCCCCATCCAAGTCGTGCTGTGCGTTGCTGTGTTTCATTCGGCACTGCGATTGGAGAAAACTCGCTGCTCAGGCGCTTCTGGGCGGTGTTGTGCCTTGACTGCTTGGGGATTTTGCGGAATGACAAGCCCATGCCATGCCAGTGCACCGAGGCTTTGGTTGGGGCCCTATCTCGTCCAAAAACTGCACCTGGGCCGTCCGAGCGCTTGGTGCAGGAGGGGGCTTCCGAATCATGAGTTGCAAGGCGAGCCAGGTGAGTTGAGAATGCCAGCAGGAAACCGAAAGGCTTCGCAAAGAGTTGGAGGCTGTGCCACAAGGGTTTTCTTTCGCCAGGGTGTTCTTTATGACGGGCTTGGCATGGCAACTTGCGGACAGGCTGCCAAGAACGAGGACCTGGAAGGCAAAGGCGGAACACGAGACCGGCTCCAAAAGGCAGGTCCAAAATAAGAAATGAACTCTTTTGTTATGAGTTGCTATCATGGAGGCTCTGCGGCGCCTCTCCAATGCATGGGCCTTGTGCATCCTTGTGCCCTGGCATCGAAAGATGAAGATGCAACTTATTGAACTGCTGTTTCAGGTGCAAGCAGAACTCGTTACCGGGCTGCGCTAGGGCGGGGGTCATGTAGCTCGAGCTTTCGTTGTGTTACCGCCAGGATGCAGCAATGGATGACCAAGACCAATATCCCTTACCGAGCTATTTGGAGGATGACTTACAGTCAGGGCACGGGAGGGGGGGGGGGGCGGGGCGGCACAAAAAATGGACGTGTAATTCTTGGCCAGGAAGCAGCCAAGAGCAAGGAACTAAGAAGCGGCGTTGCGCTTCATTTTGCTTGTAACGTTTGTTGGCTGCCAGCTTGATTCAGGTGGCAAAATCATGCTTGCCATCACTGGGGCGTCCGGCGTTGGCAAGTCATCTTTGGTTAATGCATTTCGAAGGCAGGCAGGCGCGCGTGGACTAAGCATTTGAAATCCCGAGCCTGGATGTCAGGCTCCGGGATACGGATGCGAATGCAGCAGCGACCGGAGTTAAAGAAACTACGTCACTCCAGCCGCAGACAAGCCGAAGACGCGTTTGCATTTGCACAATCTTGGGATTGACAGTATTCGTTCATCCCCCTTGAAGCAAGCTCATTGTGTAATTCGAATAGATGTGATTTATACTGCTCTGCATTGGTGTGCTGAGGATGGAGCCGACCATGTATAGTTTTTCGGCCGATGAGGGCATTTTCAATCAACGATTTTACCGACAACTTCAAGGCCTTGTCACTGCACCTGTTAGTTTGTTAGTCCGCTAGTCGTTTCTTTGCTCAAACTTGCGGAGTTTGCGCATGATTCTAGAAAACCGGTTGCCGCAGATAATGAGAAGCTGAGCGTGGGTGCACGGGCCTCACGTGATCCCATTGCAGCAGCCGAGCTTGTATGTGACTGTGAGTAGAGTTTTGGCCGTGGAACTGAGGTGCGAGTGGTGCTCGGGCAAGTCCCCGGTGCGGACCGCAGTTACTCGTGTGGGACGGCATCAAGTACATGCGTGTGCTGCTTCACCATTTCAAACAGGTCAGCCCGAAGGATCTTGCGCCGAAGTGGTGAAAGTTGGCGATGACACGCAAAGTCTCCAGGTGCCTTTTCTGGTGTTCGGAATCCATGGGCCTTTTTGACTCCGTGGCTTGTGCTGCAGGTGCGCCTTGAAGCTGGTCCAGCCGGAGACTTGATTTGTTGTTTTCTGGGAAAGGGACCTTCAGTTATTTGAATTTTCAATCACTTCAGTTAAGTTCAGTACAGAAGCCACGGGAGGTCATGGACATCGATGTGAAGCACGTTGTCGGCACAGCTTTGGATGTGGTGATTTGGGATCTTCCGGGAGCCGGTACGCGGGGTCCCCAGCGGCGCAGCTCCGCTGGCAGCTCCGCTTTTGCAAGTGTTTTTTCCTAGTAAAAAGCTGATTCAGAACACTGGCAGGCCTAACTTTCCTCAGGCCAGGCCCTCAGAAAATGTGTGGCACTGCAGGAATCTGGCATATTCTAAACAAAATTGCGCAGCTGCTTTAGCCACGCGAGCTCGGGCAATTTCCCCCGGCGACATGTTGGCTTTATACTTTCTGCTGTCGGCGGTCACGGCCGCTTATGGCAAAGTGGTGGACTTTGAAGCCGCTGGTGGAAAAGCCGAAGATGCCTCAGAATCTGTGGAGTGGTCAAATGGTAGACTCTTGAATCAGACCCTGGGCTCCCTCCAGGCGGGGGACACGCTTCTCGTCCCCAACAAATCATTTCATGTCATGGGAGGCATCCAAGCTAAAGATTTGCAGAGCGTGGTCATCCAAATCGACGGGACTTTGATCTTCTCTGCCAGGAAAAAGGATTGGCCAAGACATTCTGGCGGCGGTGTGTTGAGTTGCTTGCGATTCGAAGATGTCACGAATTTAACTCTGACATCTTCAAAGCAAGGAGTCTTGGATGGCCAGGGCAAAGCATGGTGGGGCTACATCGAGTATTTGGAGATCCAAGAAAACCGGCCTCGTTTGCTTGAGATGTCGCAGATTAAGGGAGTTTTGGTGGAGAATCTCCTTCTGACCAACTCACCTTATTGGACTTCATGGTTCAGTGGAGTGGATGGTTTGGAGATCAGGCACTCCGAGATCGTGAACAAGCGAAGCGGCTACAAAGGACACGACTTCTACAACTTGGGGGCCTTCAATACTGAGCCTTGGCCAAGTCTTAAATGCTACCATTGGACAGGGCATGATGCATGGATTTTGCCGTTGGCCGGCGAAACGGCCGTAATCTTGTGGTGACGTTGTTGGCTCCGTCTTCAAAATGGATGACTGCCCGACAGTGGCAATGTCGGAATCTTACCTCATGTTTTTGGTACGTGCCCTACCACTTTTCAACCCCAAATGCTGCATTCAGATCCTCATGTGGCTGCCAGCGTAACTTGAAAGTAGAACCCTCGACTATCCTCAAAAAAGACTTTGCAGCTCACGCAGACACTAACCCAATATGCATAGAACACAGGAGGCCCGTGACCTTAACTTAAATTGTACCAAATGCATCTCCCCTGCAAGGATGGATGGGATGTGTCTGGCAAGAACATTTGGATCCACCATTGTAAAGTTTGGAGTCAGGATGATTGTTTCGCCGTGAAGGGCACTTCCAGCAATGTACTGATTGAAAACGTGGAGGCTAGCGGACTTGGACTGACAATTGGTTCTGAGGGTGGCAACGACCAAGTCACGAACGTCACCTTCCGCAATGCTTACATGGACCGAACCTTCAAGGGAATTTATATGAAGTTCCGCGACGTCCCGGAAGGCCAGATGGCAACGATCCAAGACGACAAGTATAAGATATGTGAGTCCCCAAGTGTAGGCACATCCTTTTAGGTGAGCAAGAAGGGTTCGGTTCCTTCCAAACTGAATAAGGATTCAAGATGTGACCTATGAGAACATCTACATCAAGGAGCCGGAGCAGTGGGGCATTTGGATCGGTCCAGCCCAGCAGTCGGACTCGCGCCGCTTCTGGCAGGGGCACCCGTGCTCTTTGCTTTGGCCGGAAATCCCTGGATCAACTTGCAAGGCTGCGGAGCGAGGAATCTACAAGAACATTCTCCTGCGCAACATCACCATCGACAACCCCAAGCTGGAACCTGAGGGCTAGCGGCTAGCATGCGCATGTTGGCAACAGCACCTTCCATATGACTGTCTGCCTTTCTTGCACGTGGGCAGATTAATCCCTGCTTCCACAACTACGCGCGATTTCACAACCACGCTACACGCACCAAGCTTCACTCACCAACCCCGCTTCCACATCCACGCTTCACGCACCAAAAGGACGGAACGGCTCACCAAAATCCACCCCACCACAACCAGCACCACCGCCACCAAAACTACCAGCGCCACCGCCACCGCCACTATAACTACCAGCGCCATTACCACCGCCAACACCATAACTAGCACCGCCACCAACAAGGCCACCACCACCATAACTAGCACCGCCACCACCCCCAACTCCCTAAACTTGAATTTCATTCACCCTAAACCCTAAATCAGGGTTTAGGTCTAAGTGTCTAAGGTTTAGGGTTCAGGGTTTAGGGTTTCCCCTAAACCCGTCAGGGTCACCCACGTGGGCACAACGAACCACATGTGCCATAATCCTAACAAGTTGCTTAGGATCCAGCCTGGCGTGATATTGGCAAGTGCCAAGTATCCGATGCGCAATATCACTTTCGATTCTGTCAAGGTGGTCAACTGGAAAGGAAAGAAGGAAAAGCTCCAGTACAAAGTTTGTGAGGGTGTGGACACGTCCTCCGTCCAGGTTCTTGGAGACACCAGTCCAGTGCCGACGTGCTTTAGGAAGCATTCGGCGCTCGAAAGTCGCGTGGTCCATATTTGAAACGAATTTGGTAGCATCACGTAGCCTTGCAGAGTCTCCTGGACAGGACGCTCAGCCGGACACGTGACAGCTCAAACTTGCTGAACCCATGCTCAGTGCATGAATGCAGGGCAATCAATGCAAAGCAGGTGATAGTGAAGCCCTTGCGCGTTTGGTGGCCGGGCTGCATCTGCAAAAAAAGGAGCAAACATGCTGAGCTGCTGACATAACCACAGCTGTAGCTTTGTCGTAGCTTTGTCTGCCAAAATTGCACCGCAAAAGATTGCCAAATTTCATGTTTGGCAAGAGAGGCCACCTATCTCAGACGTTCGGCGCCCAGGTTTATGAGCTTTGCAACGCTGTTGCTGTTGTCATGTTCCTTTCCAGGAATGGGGATTCGATACTTTGTCACACTGCCCTGTTGCTTTCATATGTTGGGTGACTTGCTTGGAGCGAGTTGGAGCCAGGATGTTGTGTTATTGGTTACATCTTCGCGGTTTACTGAAGCGGAGCTCATCCTGGCTGACGTGGCCTCAGCCATGTTGAAATTGCACCGCTACGGAAATCCATTGCCCATAACTGAGGAAGAGCTCCAGAGGTTTGAGGCCATAACAATGCTGTGCACTGCTGGAAAGTTGATTGTAATGCGCTTGGCGCGCACCTGCACCCTGCATCAGGTTCCATACTTCATGGTGAGGCTCGGCGACAGAGTTCTCAATTCCAGCTTCCCAAAGTTCCAACGGTCTTGAGTTTTGATTTGGGATTGTGACCCGAGTTGGGAAGCCTCAGCTGTGTTTCGCCAAGCAGTGGCAGGAACAAGGTGGACATCGACATCGAATCCGAGATTCTCCGCGAGGAGGAGTCGCTGGAAGGTACAACGCGACATGTTCAAAGTTTGCTCGAAGCATGCTTCCGATGCTTCTGCAGCCGGCCAGGGAATGACGATGAAGAGCGCAAGGATCTTAACCCCGCGGGGCCTCGCAAGAGCTCTGTTTCTTTTGGCCTGACATCTGAGGTGAGCTGTCAAGAGAGGAACGCGAAAAAGTCGTGCAGCAAACCATAAGTTGCATAAAGGCCACACTTTGGGCTTTTGTTGTGTACATCTCATGCTTGAGACGTAAAGTTTGTCCTGCTAAGCAGTAAGCGGAATGTCAGGGTGTGCTAAGTTCTTTGGGTGGCTTGCCTTGTCATGTCAGACCTACTTTGCCTCCGAGTACAGCGTGGATAACGTTTATTGTGTATCATCCAGGCGGATACAGCAGTGGGCGCAAGAGTGACAGCAAAGTGCTGGTTGTTTTGTGCGAGTGTGCTTCATTGCAGGAGAAAGTTACGCAAAACTCACGATTTTCCCCGCTGCTCGAATGCATGATGTGCAAATGCTTGCCAGTAAGGCTGTTTGCCCGAGCATTGAGATCTCCAGGTTTGGAAGTCGACATTTTGGAGGTTGGTGGATATTGGTGCGTCAGAGCCTGCACTTGATTGTTTTTTCTTCTCACGGTGAAGCTGTGAAGGCCATCCGGATGCAGCGGTCATAGCTCTTGAATGTAGGGCTTTCCGCTCTGTAGCGCTGTCGCCACTTGTGAAGCGTGCCAGAGCCACCGGGCGAAGGCAACAAGGAAAGGATAACAGTTCCCTGCAGCAACAGCAGAAGTGGCAAATCCAGAGCCTCTTTCAGTTTCAGTAGCACTGCGGCATCTGAGCAAGGCTGCCATCTTTTCACCTGCGAGATGAAGTCTCGCCAGAGTACTTTTCCATACCAGCAAGCCCTCTCACGCGAGGATGTGCAGGCCCCAAATACTCGGCAAGGAAGGGCGTGGCTCACGTTCTGCCGTGACAACAGCAGCTCACCTGTCATGTGCCAAGCTTGCTTGCAATCCTGCATTACCGTCATGTGGCTCAAGTAGCTTGGTTTTCACATGCTTTTTTCCTTTCCATATTTTGTGTAGGTCAGTTCTGACAGTGCCTGGGTCGGCCGGTTGGCCTCAATCAGGATTCAGCTGCGGTCTAAGAATCCAGGCGTTAATGCTGGGAAATGCCGGCGGATGCAAGCCTGCAAGGTCATGGATGCCGACAGCTTGCCGGAAGATCCTGCAGAGTTCAAGGGCAAGCTCAAGTGGCGGCAGCAGAAGCAGCCAAGGTCAAAATTAGGCTGGTTTTCTCAAGAAAAAAGGGAGAGGCAAAGCCGGCGAGAAGAGGATTCTCAGCAGCAATCAATTCGTCATGGCATGTAAGCTGGGTTTGGGAGTTGTCCTCATGCAACACCGGAAGTGTGGTGCATCACGACCACGCCAGTCAGGAGCTGAAGCGTCGCTTGGCGTCCGTGGCCACAAGCTCAGACTTGTCGTGGCACATCAGGGCAAAGCGTTCTTTCTTCTTGTTCCCCTCCTAGGATGTGAGTCTGGAGGCCCGGCTATGTTGGCGGACTTGGGCTAAGGAAGAGACTTTCAGCCCGCATGAGTGGACGCCCAACTTACTTTCATGAAAGGGGAGATCTTGGGCAGCAAGCTGTCGAATGGATAATCGAGCCCACTTTCACCAGCATGTTGCATGCTATCTCTGTAAACAACCATGGCTAACTTCCATAAGTCCATAAGTCTGGCTGCAATGTCACAACCCTGACATGGAGATAGGGTCGATTGGCAGCGCAAAGGAAGTCATGCCGCACATGCTCAAACTGCAGATTTTAGAGGACAACATGCATTCCTTGGTACCCTGAGCCTGGCACTAGGATTTTACCCTCGAATTTATACTAGCTGCCAGTACTCCAAGATGTAGGCAGCTCCAAAGCGTTTTCAAAGCCATTATGAAAGCCTTCAAATGCCCCAGAAAGTAAAGTCCCCAACCCGTTCCTCCGGCTGCAGGAGGTTCCAGTCCCAGTTTGCTTGGCTTGTGTCAGGATGATGAAGCCTTCGCAGCTTTTGCCAGAGCAACTGCCGAGCAGAAGGTCCTTGTAGTGGCCGTGGAAAGATGTTTGTTGATTTACTCTGCTTTTGGGAGGAGCGGTACGGTGATGTACTGGCATCGCTTGAGTCTCACATTTACGTCACTTGTTGAAACCGAGTGCATGATGTCATCCTGAATTTGAAGGTTCTTTTCGTGGATGACAGCTGGCAGCACAAGCAAGTCCGCGGTCAGTTACATGCAGCAGGTTTCAAGCTCACTGTTGCGAAAGGTGACCACTCTTGTTCACTCTGTGCGGACGAACCAAGGTTAAAATGTTGATGGAGCGCTTCCAGCCAGACCTGCAAACGCTGGTAACGCAGGCCTCCACATGCAAAGCCTGGCGGAATGTCTTTGTATAAGGTCTAGGATAGCATCATGTTCAGAACATACTAATCGAGAATGATTCTTGGTCGCAACTGCACGTACTGAAGGAGTTCCTGGCTCTTGTGAAGAAGACCAAGGCGCTGTCATACATGCTACTAGTAGATTGTTTCAGCATTAGTAAGTTCCATGCTGACAGGAGAACCACAAGCGAAATAACCTGGTTGGAGCCGGCTTGAAGAAGTTCTGTGTATCTTGACTACACCAGTTGTAGTGTGGATGGAGTTCAGTACGCGCACTGCGTCTCCAAAGGATTTTGTGGAGTCTCGTGGTGGGCTCTCTTTGCCCTGGGAGGCGGCAGTTGTCGTTGTGACTAGTACGTAAGCATGTGGTCCTGGAGCACGATTCAGTGTTCATGCAGCCAGAACGTGATTGCGTACAGCATGCACACCGTATGCAGCGCAGCGCAGCAGCTGCAGTAGACTCCTGCGTAGCAAGACCATGAAGACATTTTGTCGAATGTGTTCTCCATCTTCAACACGGTTCACTACGCTTTAGCAAAACTGACTACCATGAGCAAAAGCCCACGCGAAGCCAAAGAGCGCCCGAATAGCCATCACTTTCCCTTGGCTTGCCATGATATCACAACACATCCGGGGCACTTCTGCATTGGTTGGAATTCTCAGTCTGCTTGGTGCCCAGTTGGCATGGACGTCAATTGGTCAGAGACACATCCGCTCTGTGCAGAGAGAGGCCACTTCTTCACAGATGCTTCCGGCACTTGCCGAGGAGGAGGAGTACACTGGAAAGGTGTATAGGGTTCGATCAGACACTGATATGAAGAGCCTTGCGGACCATGTGGTGCGAGAGGCGGGATTTGGTCTGGCAACCGACAGTCTGGGCATCAGGGCGGCCAATGTGGTCGTCAAAGCATGCGCTACTGCCATGACGGCTGATTTCAACGGCCAGATCGTGGCAATGGCTTTGAATTGGGTCACCAAGAAGCCGCACGGCAGAGCTTTTCGTGAAGGAGCTATGGAGGTGACAGCCCTGCGCACCCACTACCAGCTAGTTGACAAGGCGGAACTCCCTAAGCAAAGCCCATTGCTAGTTGGCCGTAACACCAACATTGGGCAGTTGGGTGGTGCAATCCTGGGCCGCATCAGAGACACCGGCGAGGCCGTGATTCACGTAGCGGGCCCTGAGCGCACCATGAGCGCACTCAGAGCCATCATTGCCGCAGATCGCCTTTGGTCCGTGGACGAGAAGAGCTTCGAGGCACATCAGCACAAAACACAGATTTTTCCCGATCTTTTCTAACCTGAGTGGCCTGCACACGGCGCCCTTCGCTTTTGGAAGGCTCTGCATGGCCGGACCCGCGTGCTGGTGTCAGCAACATGGCAAAGCGACGCCCCCGGCAAGGCCTACCTGAGGCACGTCACTGCAGGTGTTTATAGGAAGCCTGGGTCCAGTAGTCGCATTGCAAGTCTTCTTGACATAGGGCTACAGGTAGCAGCTGTAATGTGCAACAGTCTTTGTGGAGATGTCCATGGTTTGAGATGGCTCGCCGTGCAGGGGCTTTGTTGCTTTCGTTTTGGCATCCCGCACGGGCAGGTTGCGCTGTTTCATCGCCTGAGCAGCAGGTTGCGCTGCTTGCGGCGACCGTGCCGCCTCTGAGTAGCGCCGCTGGAAAAGATGATTTGTGCATCTGCCTTTACTGTGGCATGGCACGTGACACGCTGATCATACTGATCCACTACGTAGAAAACGTAGAAGATGTAAAGTCAGGCTGTGCCCCTGCAGGCCAAAGCAGCTGCATGTGATGAGCGCTTCAGGCTGACCGGGGGGGAGTTGGGGAGTTGGGGTCTTTGTGATTTCGTGACGGCCAATGCTGAGCTTGCGCAGGATGGATTTCCAGCGCTGGAATAAGAAGTCGTCATCTCAGCTGGCCATTCCAGTCCTGGCAAGAGCTTTTGGTGCCCTCAAGGTCGGTTGCACAGCCCACTGGGCGCAGCCTCCTCACGACGCACTTTGCCGTCAAGCGGAAGGAGCCCGAAGAGGCGAAGGAGGCGAAGGCGCCCGAAGAGGTGAAGGAGCCCCAGGAGAAGGCCTTGGCAACTTGGCACCTCACATTATCCCACTCTCTTCCATCCGTGCAGGCAAAGAAAACGAACCCACGTCCCCGCAAAATCCAGGCAAGCTGGCGGCAGAGATCAGAAGGTCGTTTCAACGAGTCTTAGCAGGCATTCGGGAAGCGATTCCAGAAGGGAAAAGGCGAATCCAAAGAAGCCTGCCAGGCTCGGCATTTCTCCGCAAGTGGCCATACGGGCCCAAGCTTTGCCCTGACACCAGGCCCCTGCCACTGAGCCGGCACGCGCTGTGGCAACTCCGCAGAGATCAGGTTCTGAGCATTTTGCTTGTTCAGATTCAGACTGTTGGCTTCTCTTGCTAGACGTCTCCCAGCGAGCATCACGCCGGGAAAGCGGAGAGCAGGCGGAACGCAAAGTTTTGCATCCCGATTCATGCTGGAGTGTCGCCCTGGAACAGGCAGCCTCAACCCCTCCGTCCAAAGGTGTGCCAGTCGCAGAGGACCCCAACGTTGGGCATTTGGGCGATTGACGGGAGCCATCAGGAAAGACCGCTCAAAAAAGCCATTCATGAGAGGAGACTCCAGAGAAGCCAGCTCCAGCTTTAAGGCGCTGCAGACATGTGGACTTCTCAGACTTCAGTGTTCTTTGACAAGGCCAAGCGACATGAAGGAGATATCCGCTCTCCGCAGTGCTATGCTTGCATCAGCCAAGCAACAAAACTACGCAAAGGACCGCTGCGAATGGAGCGCCGCTGGGCAAGAATTGCTTTGCTTCTTGAGGCGAAGGAGCTAAAGCAGCGGCTGCTAAAGCGCTGCGAAGAAATCGGGTGTCCAGTGCCAGCGCCTTGAAATTTCTGGTATAAAGTGGATTCTCAAGCCGTGAGGCCTACTACTACTGTCTCGGGAGGCCCAGAGGCATCGGCCTGTGATGCACTCAACTAAGCACTAGCTTCAACCTTGTCGCAGGCCTTGCTCCTTGTTGGGGTAGGAAATCGGAAGTACGTCCGGCCAGGAGAAGGGTGCAAAGGGGAAGCGTGCTCACAGAAAGGAGCGCGATGATCAAAAGAACACTGAAGAAGGTGGTTCGTGGCCTTGTCTTTGGAGAAGCGCTTCACTAGCAGCAGCCTGTTCCGACATCAGGGTGTGAGGATGCCGAACCGATGGATCGCTTTGAATTTGCCCGCGGCATCCTGAAGGCACCTCCCATCCCAGTATTTTTGCATTGAAAATCCAGTCTGATTGACTGACCTGGCTGCTGAGTGCTAGGAGAAATTCCCCTTGCGGTTTCTCAATGACTGCTCTCCAGAGGACGCTGCACAATCGTGTTCAATTGCAGTAGGAGTGGATTACAACGGGATGAGAATTGCAGGATGATGCAGAGATCCTCCAAGAAAACGAGCCAGAAGCCAGATCTAAGGTTTTGAAATGCACATGAGGCATGTGCCGGTCTTAGGCGAAGAGCCATGCGACGCGCCAAGAAGGAAGAAGACGATCAGGATGAGGACATGCATGTCCAGGAGTGCTAGGAGGTGTGCCAAGCTCAGTGGCACCTTGAAGGATGCAGAGGAGGATGAGGACAAGCCATGTCACACGCCTCATTGAGTTCAGAACATGCTTCATTTGCTCCAGGAGCAGCGCAAGGCGCATGAAATGAAGAAGGCCGCTCACCTCAGATATTTTTCCTTGAGAAGCCCCACATAGCTAGTCTCAACACATGCCATGGAAGCAGCCTCTGTTGATCAGATGATAGACCTGGCTCCGTGGACACCCAAGCAAATTGTTCAATGAGAATGCGAAGGCTTTATCCAGTATACCAGATGCATCCGTTGAAGATGTTGACCGGTTTCCGGCAGTCCATGCCTTACACTTTCAGCCTCATGCATGACTCGCGCAGCTTGCCGATGATGTTCCTCAAGATTAGCACTAGACAGGTTGCAGCAACCTTCAGAGAGTGGCTGTCAGCCCAAAACATGCCACAGGACAAAGTTTTAGCTTTGAGTTGCTGCATTTCTTTGTATTCTTTCTGCAAACCTTACTGGCCAACAGCCTGTGGATTCCATGTCCGTTGACCATGATGCGAGATTACCTCAAGCATGCTGGCTTTATGCCAGACCAGGTCCTTTCCAAGTGCTGACCTGCAACCCCATTTTCTTGAGGACCTCTTTCCCTGATTGTGGACCCGCCCCACACATCCCAACTCTGCACCCCTCTGTCACAGTTTGAAACATTCGCTTGGCGGCAGGAGGACGTGGAGGCCTCGGTCCAGGCGCTGCTGCACTTGTTCAGACCGTGTTCTTAATAGGGTTCTTCATAGGGTCTGTCAGTGGCCACATGCAACATGAATTGCTTTTAGCCAAGATGCTGCAGAGCGGCGCTCATACAGTGCTTGGTTGCAAGCACTGCCTGAGCTGTATGGTTGCTGCAACGCTTGGCTCAGCGGACAGCTGAGAGCCCGGTCACAGGCGTACTGTGGGATATTTACATGAAATGTCAAGGTTGTGTAGGCTGCTTGCAGGGATAGATACAATGTGCACTTGCGGATATGAGCGTTCAAAGGTGCACCTCAGCAGATGTCCCTTGCACACAGTGACGCCCTGACATGATGCGCATGAAGGCCTAGGCTGCCTGCAGCCCTTGATGATATTCTCATCAAGCATGAAGATCTGCATCTACATGCGTATGCGTACGTATCTGGGTGTAGCCTACATCAGAACTCATAGTCCCATGCTTCCCCGCAACTCTCACCCTGTGTTGAAAGCCTTCAGACTTCTCGGGCACTCCCCAGCAGCCTCGGCCGTCATCAATGCTTCGAGATGTGCCCTTGACTTCCAAAGACATTAGGACTTTGCTCAGTCCCAACACTTTGAGGCTGCCTAGCGCGGTTATTGCTACCAGCAAGGCTGCTTGCATCAAGCAGCCTAATGTACTGGAATTGCTTTGTCACAGGCCGAACGAACTAGCTTTCAGCAATGCCCCAGATGAGAGCTGACGGCTCACATCATGGAACCCAGCGCCACTTGCACAAAGTGGCCTAAAAGCTATTGCTGTCGGATATTGTGATCACTTGAGCCATCTACCCACACTTTGAGCCAGACTTTCCAGACATGCAGGTGCTGCATGACCTGTTCACCCAAGACGAGAAGTCGCTGGATGCGATGGCCGAGGCTGTGCCGCGGCGCCGCATTTGGTTTCTGGAATCCTGCAAGCGCGTCGCCAAGGAAGCATACGTCAAAGTTGCTTCCAAGCAGTGCTTTCCTTGGCCTCCTCAGCTAGCATGGTGACTCTCAAGATAGCTGACTCCTTGGCGCTTCTGAGGGAATCGCACGCCAAAGTTGCGCAGCAGTTTGCAGCATTTTGGGCGGAACGAAGGAATGGCCGGAGACCAAGTTTGATGAAGTAATTCTGAAGCAAGGACGCATAGCTTGGGACAGTGGCGTGACAGTCTGACAATTTCAATGCAGTTGACTTTTTCAGCATGTCATACTGGTACATTGATATGTAATGAGGGTTGAAAAGTTGCGCCCGAACTGAAGAGGTTGAAGCGGCAGATTCTGCGGTTTTACGTTGTCGTATTTTGTGGTGAGACCGTCTCGGGTTGCCACGGCTGTGCAGATTCGACACGGCTACAATGCGCCGCGTTGGCATTTGCAAGACTGCAAGATTAAGGACACCAAAGCCATTGGGAACTGCACAGAAGGGATTCTCTACAAAAGGAATTGCACCGGGATCACATCCCGAGCAGAAGTCTGTCGCCTGTGCTCGCACTGCGTAGATTTACGTAAGAGACGTACACAGGCCGTGGACAAAGCACAAGGCTTGTTTTTCAGAACGTGATGAAGTTTTCTGTGCAGCTTGAGGCCCTTGGTGCCCAGCACCTGCGCGAGTGGAGCGGAAGCTGGAAGCCAGTAACTCAGAATGCTGGCACGACAGCTGAGCTCAGGGAATTTTGAGTGGAGGCGCGCTTGCGGCTGCAGCACATGATACCGGTGCCTCCGCCGAGCCAAGAGTCTAAGAGTCTAAGACAGTCTACCTACAAAAGCAAAGCTGTCGCAGCCAGGAAACTTGGAGCTTGCGCGTCGTCCAGCGGGCTAACAAGGAGGTTTAGCTTCGTGAACCGGCCTGATTGACTGGGGAGTCTTGCCCGCGGAAGTCATTGTCCAGGATCTTGTCATCCTGACAGCCCCTGATGGCACAAAGCAGTTCGCAGAAACCTCTAAGTTTGCGGAGCACCCCGTGTTCCTTAGCAAGGACATTTCGACACTGCCAAGGCTTGTAGCCCCAGCAAGGGGGCTTAGAATGCAGTGCAGGACTTTCAAGCGGAGCAGAAGCGCCGCTCCGTCCAGCACCTGGTGCAAACTGGCACTACTTCCAACCTGCCAACCTGCCAACCTTCCAGTGCCTTTGCACTCAGGATCTAGCAGCGGCGACCACAGAGCTGGAACAGGCTAAGCTTAGGCTTGAGCTGGAGAAGGCGGGAGGAGTTTGAAGAGCGTTTGGAGACCCTTGTTCCTTCGTTGCTTGCAAGGGCCGGAAGGTTGAGAAGCCAAAGGCTCGGGACTGCTATCATCTTCCAACATCTTCCAACGCCTACATCTCGCTGCCATAGGTTCTGGATGTGGCAGATGCCACCCAGGCGGTGCAGGATAGCTTGAGCGGAAGCCCTGCATCCCAGACCCGGAATATGTTGCGTGCTGTTTACCTAAGTTCTTCTGTCCCCAAGGCACAGAAGCGAAGGCGTCCATGCTGCGCGCTGTTCTGCGGCAACACCTGGGCTGCTCGAGTTGTGGACGGCTTTCCACAAGGCAGCTGTACCAACTAGACTCTCTATACGCAGCCTCCTCCAGAATGCTGGAAGTTGTCAGGGAGCTGGAGCGAATGTTCAGCACTGCCTGCACTGCAGAAGAACACAGCTGGTCCTCGTGAGCCCTGTGAGTTGCATTGCCCGCGATTATCCTTGTGTGACGCAGTGCTGCAAGGTACGATGATGTTCCTGATGCCTCGCCAGAGGATGTGCAGCAATATCCGCGTGTTCTGGCAACGTTCTTCCAGCAGGCTTTTGTCAGACCATCCTCAATCCTGGCCTTTGACCCTCCCAAAAGCTGATGCAGGGCTACCCGTACATGAACGGCGTGAGGCGGCTGATGGAGCTTGGCTCACAGCGCAAATAGCGAGCTCTTAGATTCAGATGGAGCGTCTTTGAAGAAGTTGTGGAGTTTTTCTCGAGGCTTCACAAGAAGACGGCCTGGGATATGGCAACTCCAGCATTTCAGCGCCTTGTCCGGATGGACCCCGAAAACGCCACTTTGTTGCAATTGGCCGCTGAAATTTGGGTCCTTGCGTCGACCTCGAAGCTGAGGCAAGGTGCAACGGCTACTTGAACTCCGCGATCTTATACCTCAGGCATAAGTCTGTCCCTGGTCCCTGGTTGCGGAGCCACAGGTTACTTTTGATTCCTCCATGCCAGGAAGTTCCGTGAGACTGGGGGCTTTGACCATCTCACGGACGCCAAGCTGTAAGCAGCAAAACAGCGGAGAGTTTTCCTGTGTCGGTTGAGTGCTCGGGTGGCCAAGTTTCTTCGGACTCTGCAGCCAAGGATGTCTCCTCCATTGATCCATACAAGCTGCAGAAGATGTTTACCCCGGACTTTGACAGAGAGACTGGCAAGGCTCAAAGTAAACTGGGCCAAAAGACGTTGATTCTTCATAGTAGGTCAAGCACGATTGAGTAAAGAACAGCCAGCTGGGCACAGCGTATGTGTGCAAAGGTAATTCTACCACAGTTGAGTAGGTCAAACTTGAAAGGCTGGATGTCACACTGCAGCTGGCCGACAGTTTCCGCTCAACAAGCATCCCACGATTTTAGACGATTGCCTGAAAGCGGAAATTTCGAATGACAACAGCCTGCAAACGTTGAATCGCCGGCAGCTGCAGGAACAAGAGCACTTCGATGATCTGCAGGCAGCTTGTTTCAATGGATGGTTTCTCTGCCCTATCTAATCCCTCAAATTTACGATCGCAGCCTACAAGGTGTCTCCCAAGGAGACCTTGAATTTTGAGATGGAGGGGTTTATCCTCTGTAGAGATCAAATTTACCACTCAAGTTGGTTTGTTGATTCAAGATCTGAACTACTGAGGGTCGAGGAAAGCGCGGGGCAACTGCAAGTTGCAGCTGCCAGGTGGACATGCCATTAGAGCTGGTCATGGCAGATGCTACAGAGAACTGGCCTGGACCCGAGTGGCTGTTTAAGCCTGGGTGGTTTCTTGGTCTGAAATGAAACATGCGGTACGGATCAAACTGACAAACTCTGACTTCTGCTTGAACTTGTTCGCAGAATTTTTTGTGGCACAGCAGCCGAAAGATACCAGGTGCCAGGGATGAGCATTCTCACAAGGTCGGGTCACTTCCGTCTAATGGTCGCCTTTGATTGTCGGGTGCTACCAGTCGGCAGAGAAGGATCAAAGTGGCCAACTGCTGCATGTCGCCGAAGCTTCGCCAAGCACGTACAGGAATGGCACAGTTCCATCGAAGATTGCTCAGAGCCCGCCCCGGCAAGTCTGCTGATGCGGCCTTGCAGATCACGGGCAAGTAATAATGACCCCAACCGACCTGCGAGCAAAGCTCCTTCTGATAATTGTACGCTTGGGTTCCCATTGGCAATGATGAGCACGCACCTTCTGCGATGCCATTTGTGGCTCACTGACGTGCCCAGCCGGGCCCGCTTGAGTAGCTTTTCTTGTAGTGGAAAATGTCCGCTTTGCTTTGCTGAGCATCCACGGTTCTGAGCGAGTGGTTTGCTAAGTTGGTAGCGAGGAGCCTGCGGTTTTGCCCTGCGATGCCTCTGGTGCCACAGATCTTCCATATGGCGAGCGAGTCCGAGCGGCCCGCCGAAGCCTATGACGAGGACTGGAATGGACTAGAGTCGCTGTCGCAGAGGTTGAGTGCGATCACAGGGCATAGTGAAGGCGCTGCGCATCACCCCAGTTATGCTGCAGTCGCTTGGCGCTGTGCTGCCTGCGATAGCCCAGACCTTCACAGGATTTCCTCTGGCGATTGGGGGAAGCCGCGACTATTACAGAGTGGGCGAGCAGACCTGGAGGCGCACGGGGCATGGAACATGGATGTACTTCCCAGAGGGACAGGAACCACTTCCTCCTTGGACACGCGCTGCAGAGACTGTTGCCCCTCCGGCACCCACTGGACCACCACCGAGCGCGCCCCCTTTGCAGGAGACGGCGCAGAGCACGACTGGAGCGGCTCGCCGTAGAAGGCGGCGAAGACGCGGAGGCAGGCCAGACCCTGGTGACGGGGATTGGGACGAGCAAGCAGAGTCAGAGACCTTGACCCACGACAGCTTGGTGACAGTCAGCACTCGACATGCTGATCCTCGGCCCGATCCTCGGCTACCTGTACCTGGCGCTGCTGGTCCGGCACAACCTCCTCTTCCTGAAGGGTTCCCTGCTGTTCTTGGAGGACTCGATCCGGAACTACCTGCAGAGCACCCCACCTTCTTGGACCAGAGCCTCGCGGCCGATGGAAGGAAGAAAGGAGCAAGCTCAGCGGCTCCTTCCTGGAACAGCCGCATGGGCCCGGAACGCGGGGTCAAGTGGCGCGGCGGCGCACCCCCTGCGCCGCCCAAATGGGCTTACGACAAGGAAGATCTCCGGGCTTTCTCCAAGTACGAGAGGAAGGTGCGACTGTGGGAGATCCAAGTGGAGGCCTATACATGTCAAAGATGGAGGCCGCTCTTCAGCTTTACACCGCTCAGCGGGGAGCCGGAGCAAGAGTTGGAACACGCACCCCTTGAGAAAATTAATAGCCGCCAGGGTATTAATTATATCTTGGAGCAGCTTCGGGGTCCCATGTCTCAACGCCTGGTGTATCAGAAGCGCAGATTCTTATCCGATTTTGAGGGCATTAACAGGTATCCCAGCGAGCACCTTCGTGCCTTGACGAACCGTTATCGGAGAACTGAACGCAATCTCCAGGCCGTGGACATCAATGTGACCGCCATGTATGATGGCGAAGCTCGCGGAAGCAGACTTCTGGATCGAGCGAGGCTGTCTCCCCAGGATCAACGTCTTGTTCTGGTCGGAGCTCGCTACTCCCTGGCCTTCGATGACATCGCCGAGTCCCTGATCATGCAGTTTCCCGACTTCAAGGCTCCGCCCCCGGTCATGGGAAAAGATGGTCAGCTGATCACCAGGTCAAAGGGTTCAGGGAAGAACAATGACAAGCCTTTCCCGCAGCAGGGCGGACCAAGCCACCAAGGCGGCAAGGGGAATGGCAAGTTTGCTCCCAGGAGGGTCTTTGTCACTGAGTCCGGCGAAGCCACGGAGCCCCACGATGGCATCCAGGATGACGAGCCGGACAACGACGAGGACGCCCAGGGCGACCAGAACGAGGACGACCCGGACGACCAGCCGGACGGAGATGGCGATGACCCGGGCGATGACTTGGATGATCTGGTCCAGGTCTTGACGGTGACGGCCAGACGCCTTGCCTCGGTCAAACTCGGAAGAAAGTTCTCAGGGAACAAAGTTCCGCCAAGTGAGCTGAAGAAAAAGACCGCATGCGCAGCTTGCGGGGAAGTCAGTCACTGGCGGGGTGATCCACAGTGCAAAGTGTCTGGGACAGGTGCTGCTTCTTCATCTTCGATGCCCGGTCCTTCGAGCTCAACCCCTGCCAAGAAAGGAGGCAAGGGAGACAAGCCACACCAAACGTTCACCGTCATGCACAGTGACCTTGGTAACTACGAAGTTCGTTCAGGATATGGCACAGCTTTCGGAGACGCAGAGCCAGGCAGCTATCGTGTCAACGTTGTGTTTGCCACTCAGGACGTTGCTCATAATACCGGCTTTGTGGGCTACATGGTTCTTGACACAGCCTGTCAGCGCACATGCTGCGGCCGCAGGTGGCTTCGAGAACATCAAGACCTGCTTGGCGTGTACGACATCCAGCCCGTGAAGGTGGACTGCAAGGATAGGTTCCAGTTCGGTAAGGGAGATCCCATATCGGCAGATCATCGTGCACACATTCCGGCAGTCCTTGATGATGGCTCAACTTTCTGCTTGGGGGCAGGTGTGCTTGATGCTGGCATTCCTCTCCTTGCGAGCAACCCTCTCCTCAAGGCGCTCGGCATGGTTCTAGATCTTCCTAGGATGGTTGCCTACTTCGAGCAGTTGTCAGCGGAAGTGCCAGTTGTGAACTTGAAAGGCCACCTTGCTGTCAACATTGCTGCTTTATCTGGACCTAAAGGTGCTAGCCTCAAGCACCACATGTCATCCGTTGATTGGCAGAACGCGGCTCCTGAGCTTCTTTTTGACAAGGGTCCACCGGTTCCTTCATTAGGCCATGCACCAGCCTCCGCCACAATGGTTACAAAGGTGGCGTTTTCTGATGCAGAGCCTCCTCTTCTTTCGCAAGAGCTTGTACCAGCAGATGTGCAGGGCAGTTCGACTCAGGATTTGGGACCGTGCGTGGCTGGTCGAGGCGACACCGCCCCGACTGGACGCAAACTTTCTGAGTATCGAGGAGTGCGACCACGGCGACATCTACAGGTACGGCAATGCGACAGGGAGATACGCCAGGTGCCGGAGGTGCGTGACGAGATGGGTGTGGAAGGCCGCCGACGAAAGATGGCAACTGCGCCCCTTCAAAGGATCTTCACCCTCATCGGCACTGCCATTGCCCTCCTCGGCCAATAATACGGTGCCGGCGGCGGCTCCGACTACGAGAGCTTCTCTGCGGGCGGCGGCAGCAAAGACGAGACCTACCTCGGCGCGGCCATCCCGGAGTACGACCTCTCGAACTATCCAGAGCCAACCTTCGACTCGAGGGCTTCGGCAAATGACCCCCGAGGAGGAGCTGGACGCCTGGAAGCTTCTGACCGAGGATGGCGAGGAGACGACATACGATTGGGACGCGTGAAGGGCTTCAAGCGCCGGCGAGGTGAAAATGTACCAGGCCCTTCCGACTGCATCATTGCGGCCACCTGGATGCGTTGATCTGCTCGAGCTCTTTGCTGGTCAGGCGAGACCAAGTGCGGCTGCTTCAAGCCACGGGCTCAACGCGTGCCAACCAGTGGACTTGATGTATGGCTGGGATTTGGACACGAAGCGGGGCCAGGACATGGTGCGTGCAATGGTCCGGCGCCTTCGCCCATGGCTTCTTCTCGTCGGCTACCCGCGCAAGCACTATACTCTCTTTAATGAGAACCTGAACTAAGCTCATCGGCTTCACGAGATTGAGTCCTTGCGCAGCCTCGACCGACCACGACGACAATTTCTGGCCGAGCTTTGTCAAGAACAAGCTGACCATGGACGGCACTTCTTCATTGAAAATCCTCAGCGGTCAACTGGCTCTGGGAGCAGGACGAGATTAAGGAGCTCATCAACATGCCGGGGAGCACCATGGGCCATGCTCACCTCGGCGCCTTCGGCTCCGAGACCTCGGATGGGCAACCCGTGATTAAACCCATCGGCATTCTCACCAACCTGCCAGGACTCGCTGAAAGATTGTCAGTCAAGCTGAGTGCAGTTGATCGGCAGTATTGCGAGCGCACTGAGACAAAACGTTCGCAGGTCTATCCCCACGCCTTCGTGCATGAGATCCTCCTCCACTTGCGCGACCTCATTGCGGAGAAGGAGCCCCTGCGATTCGGCACCTTTGATGTGTATGCCACGGCGCGCCCCATATCAGATGTCAAGGCTTGGGACAATGTGTTCGCGCAGCTCGCGCAGGACTTTGCTGTGGGCAACCGACGCGCCTTCGACATTGATCTCAACTCCCCGCTCGGCAAGGACGTCCAAAACTTGTTCCGCATCAAGGCCGTTAAGATACAGGCTGCACCTTCCCCGATTCAACGGCGCTTCCTGATGGACCAGGCCTACTCTGCTAGAGGCGTTGCCCTTGAGTATATCGATGGCAATCGCCATATCGAGGTGGAGCAGCTGGAAGAGATCAGGCACCCGAAAACTCGGTTCAGCCAAGCCGTGCGCTTTGCTGTGTTCATCTACGCGACTCCTTGCAAGAGCCTGATGTACCACGTGGAGCAGATGCCGAGGCTCCTTCGGTACTAGTTCCCGGGCTCATGACGGACATCACCTTTCCAGGCCTCGGACAGCAGGTACCAGCCGAGATCAGGAGGTCCGTGGCCCGGCTACACGCAAACCTGGGTCATCCCTCACCGCGTGAGCTCACCCGGCTACTTCTACATCGTGGTGTGCCAAATGCTGCGGTGCTTGAATGCGTCAAGAAGCTGCACTGTGCAACTTGCGAGCGCCTCAAAGGACCACAACAACCACGCCCTGCATCATCATCAACTACCTTGCCCACGGCTTCCCAGTTCAACGAACTTGTTCAGGGCGACTTCTTCTTTGTTCGACTCAGCACGGGCGAAGTTGTTCAGGTCCTGGGATTAGCCGACACCGCCACGGGATTTCATCAAGCGGCCATCCTGCGCACAAAGGGTGCGAAGGAGACCTACGACATCCTCGACCGCGTATGGCTGCGACCTTTTGGACTTCCTGCGCGACTTCTACTTGACCCTGATCCTCTGTTCCAAGGTGACTTCGACGACCTCCATTCAACGGTCAACGTGCAAGTCGACTTCTGTCCAGCGGAGACACACTGGGTCATTGGTATGGTGGAGAGGCGCAACGCTGTGCTTCGGACCATTCTGGAGCGACTCATCAGTGACCACTGCGCCGCCAGTGTCGACGACCTCGACTACCTGATCGCTCCGGCCCTGCACTCCACGAACAGCTATGTCACAACCAAAGGCCGGAGTCCTTTTCAAGCTGTTTTTGGACGAGTGCCGCAGCTACCAGGAGGGCTCTTTACTGATGGCGGCTCGTTGGCATCCTCACCTTTGGACCCTGCCTTGAGCGCAGAAGCCGTCAGGAGCGAAGCGTTGCAGCATCTGGCTGCAATGGGCGTTGACAAGGGGTTGCGCAGGGCAATACTTCGAAAGACACGGAACACCCGTGTGCCGCAGCTTGAACCAGGCCAGAGATGCTCATTCTGGCGGGAGAAAACGCGGCCTCCGAAAAAGGGGCGCGTGGTCAACTGCCAGGTTCTTGGCTTGGGACCCGGACACCCCAGGCAAGCAGGCATGGCTCCGGAGTGGAAATGCCACGATCTTGGTCGCCGCGAGCAGTTGCGCGAAGTTATTGGTTTCGAAAACTGGTCACCTGACGAAGAGGACGTCACCCAGAGATTCCAAAAGCCC